GGTGACGGAGGGTGCGGGGAGCGGGAAAGGGGGCGCGAAAATGTCGCTCCTGCCAAATCTCGCGTCGGATGGGGGTTGAGCTCGGGTCGGCCTCCCAGCCCATGAAGATGGAGGTTGAGGGAGAAGATTTGCCGCGCCCCGCAAAATTTTTTGCGGGCCGAAGCGTTTTGCGGGGTCTGCTCGTGCAGATTTTTTGGCCCCAACCCGCAATTTGGCGGTTATTTTGCGGGCCGGGGCGTTTTGCGGGGTCTGCTAGAGTTGCTCTTAGCTCATTGAAGATGGGGGAAATTAAAGAGGAGAGAGATAGTAGCTTGCACCTTTCGAATGCATTTTCTACTCTAATCCATAATTCGTCTTAAAATTTCTATACTTATTTGAGGACAGAGGGAGTATATTTATGGATGGAGGGATTAGCAGCCTGAATTATTCGTCCTAATGTATATTTTCAATCTTATTGCTATCGCACTAGCTTAATCCTGAAGTACCCAGCAACATCTGTGGCCAAAAAAGGGAGAAACACAGCGAGAAAGTAACTGTAAAAAGTACATAGTGAGATTAAATTCTCTCCATAAGAGCATGCATTGTACTCCAACCAGAGTTAAAGCGTACAAGTCGGACACTTGTCAATTACATGGCATCTACAATGGCGTCGAAAGCTTAATGAAGACAGGAATGTGACTAGGCAAGGGGAAACTAACAAACTGCGGCAACAACATACCATTATTTGTCCAATGCTAAGATGTTGACAATACTCCAAAGTGTAGCACACGTGCAGTACCTCAGTCTCAGTTCTCAGATGGATTTTGTTGGACCTCACTTTCAGAAGTACCCAACGCCCTTCACTTCACCTATCTTGGGGCCATTGCCATCGTTACCAAGAAACAGAAGCCGACCTGTTCGTAAGAAACAACTTTTATCATATTCTACCAAAACCTAAACACAGTCGCAAAGCTGAACATAATTCCAAATGCCATGTAACTTTAATTCGTACGTTGAAACTGAGCACAAATCGCAATGCTTAACATAATTCCAAATGCCATGCAACTTTTAATTCATATGTTGAAACTGAGCATAAAAAAACCAGCACAGAAAATCAGCTTATCAATGTGACTACAAGGGACACGAGGACATCATTAATGAGACAATTGTTATACTAACTTTGTCACGAACCAAAATGAGTAAATTAAGGGACAACGCTGAAGCCGGCTATGGAACATTTATATGGTTAGTTGTTCTTAATCTGAAAGTATTAAATGGTGTTTTGATGATTTTAGAGTGGACTAGATCAAGAGTTGTTCTGAATAAAATAATTATGTTATCACATGGGTAAATAGTTAGAACCCTGCAGTAGTAACATACTCCCTCCGTCCTGAACCGCGACAAGTAATTCGGGGCGGAGGGAGTAGGTTAGAGCCTAACCCAATAATGTATGGAAAAAACACAAGCGGAGTCTAAGCTTTGGCATGGAAAATCACAAACAACAGAGTTTTATCATGCTACAATTAGTAGTTCAAGAGACGAAATCAATACAGCTCTATTTAGCAATGACTTGATGTTTTGATTGACGAAAAACAAATTACAATCAAGTAGTACTTTTTTATGTTAAAATGCAGAAGAAAATGTGATCTGAAGTGAAAATGTAGAAGATTAAGATTCAAACTCCTACACAATATGCAAGTGCTTATGCAGTTGGTATTTCAGTGTACAATCTAGACTCCTGAACACATTAAGTGTTTAGACAACAACACATTACATGTAGAGCACAGTTCGCAACAGCCTCATAAGTCCGTTTGAAACATTGGGAAGTACGGGTTAAGGAGGAGATGCCCCATGAACTGAAGATGGCTGTTATATAGGTTTGTGGCAGAGCAGCTAGTAGTACTCTGCTTGCGCAGTTGTGAATCAGCCTGAAGATGATACCAAACACAGATAGCAGGAATGCAGAAAACATTTCGATTACAAGAGATTTCATTCGTGGGGCTTCAGAAATGTCTTTGCTATGTTTTTTCTTCACTACAGCACTGTATGTGGTTACATTAACATAGGATGAGATGACAAATCTTTTTGTTCAGAACAAAAGTGGGGGAAGGAAATGGAATCAGCAGCTAGCCGTTATCCTGAATAACTGAACAATGATTATTCAATATGCTGCCCTTAAAGCAAAGTTTGTAACAAGAAACATTTAGAAAAATAACAAAATTACTAATGGTGGCATTTAGCCTATAATATTTAACAAGTTTCCCCGAGTAAAATTTAAAACTGAAGATTTTTCCTGTAACGTAAAAACTTAAGGTTCTGAGACAAGGCTGAAAACAAATAACAGAGGTATGAACAAAAAAGAAGCTGATTATGTGATATCTAATAAAGAAACATACCATTTCCTCGAACAGCTATTTCTCTTATGCGTCTAACGAGCCCAGTTATAGGATCGGAGAACACCTTTGTCTCAATATTTCCTTCCAAATAGAGAAGAGATCTGAAATGTTGCAACTGATCAACATTTAGAGGTATAATTGAAGTAAATCAATAGAAGGAAGAAGAAACACAAAGGAGGCAGCATAAAGCTCAAACTACACTGACCATGTTGCCACTTGGCCAATATGCAAATTCAAATCTACAACCAACAGGACGCATATTCAGTTTCCAACTACAACTAAGATAACCAATCCACCGGAACTGAATAACAGTGTTCTCTAACTTCCACTAAATGGAACTTAGTAAAAGGTAAATGGTCCATACTCGATTATTCACCAAGAGAATCAAGTACTCAGATTTCGCAATCTAGGTGAATGAGTGGTTGGAAGGATGAACAAATGAATAGGCTTGAAAATGACAATATAGGACTTAAGAATGCCTGTTTACATAATACTCCTCCGTTCACAAATAGAAGATGTTTTTGATATTTCAATATGGACTACATACTACGGAATGAAATGAGTGAACAAACACACTAAAATGTGTCTATATACATCCGATTCATTCACAAAAAAGTTAAAACGTCCTATATTTATGAATGGAGCGAGTATTTCACAAAGCTGAATTAGCAAGCGGTTTGGGCGGCATGATCCGAGTTAGCAAAGCTGAGACTGACGCGCTCAAACATCTCGCTACCTCTAAACTGATGCAGGTCAAAATTGCATCCAACAAAAGGAAAATCTAAACAACGCAAAGCTCGGGGCAAGGCAAAGGCGCTGACCCGGTCTTGACATGCTTCAGCGCGAGGCTACCCAGCCTGTCCGGGTAGATGCATACGCGGTGCCACTGCACGGAGCTGCGTTCCGCGTACTGATGCGGCTCCTCGTTGTCCAACGGGCGGCGGTTGTTGCGGATGCCGCCGGTGCCCAGCGATAACAACACGACGGTCTTCCCACTCCGCAGCCGCTTCTGCATAGGCTCTTGACCCACCTTTCCCACCATTATAGCCTTCGCGAATCCACCAAAACAAAAAGCGCACATCACATTTCGGCTCTCACCAAAACAGGCCCAAACGGAGAAGAGAACCAAGGGTTCCATAAAACCTTGTAGATGCCGTGGTCGAGGCCATTCTCGAGGGTGCGGGTCGTGTTGGGAGGCCTCGGCTGGCTCCGGTACTGATTACCCTGATCGGCGGGTGGCTCAGGGTCCGGCTCGGCATCGGATACCGCGGCCGAGTGTGAGGACGGGGGCGCGGTGGAGGACAAGGGGCGGAAAGGAGAAGAGACGAAGCGGCGGGAGAGGAGGAAGCGGCGGCCGAGGAGGGAGGAGGAGGTGGCGGCCGCCATGGATGCGCGTCGACGAGAGGAAGAGGGGGAGAGATCGCCGCTAAACCCTGTGCAAAGCCCTAGTTTTGGTGGGTTGCGTCCGGGGCCTTCGGTGGGCCGCTGGCTAGGACGATCGAGAACAAAATTGTGACATGCTGTGTGCACAGCATGCGCAAATCCAATATACCGCTTTCAGCAGCATATAGCGTTCGCGTCGCCTGTGCGAGCTCACATGGGTCTGCCCAGTAAGCCCATTTTCTTTCCTTCTTAACGGCTAGGTCGACCTGCCGGCAATCTTGTCGCTTCTCTTTTTCATCGAAATCACTAGTTAAGTGTATCATTCTCCAAAAAAAAACTAGTTATGGTACCCTTTGCAAAGATCACTCTCATTTGGTGATGATAAGTAACACACTGCATGCATGACACTTGTCGCAATACGCGAGTTTTGTGTTTTTTTTCATACGTTTTTCTAATGTTTTACCTGTTGAACCTTGCATCCAAATCATAAATCGTTTTCTCCATCATGTTTCTTTCATTGAGATCTTGGTAACTATATCACATGTTAAAAGTTTGGACAAAAAAAATAGAAAAAAAGAGGATACAATGAAAATGAAAAATAAAAAATGAAAACCAGAAAAAAAAACAAAAACCATAAAAAGGAAAAAATAAAGCTGAAAAAAATAGAAACCGAAAGCACATTTGTGTTTTTCACTTTTTTGGGAAGCACACCGGTATTTCTTTACTTTATGGGAAGCACACATGTGCTTTCACTTTCTGAAAAGCACAGTTGTGTTTTTTTTTTACTTTTTGGAAGCACAGCTATGGGAAGCATATGTTAGGATCAATGTCACAGGATTTTTATTGTGTAGATAAGCTTGAGCCTCGCATGCCAATCTCTGTAAAACCATGATGGTGTGCGGACAAGAGTTTTATCGATCCCTTTTCTCCATCGGTACTCCCGTAAAACTTCTCTTCTGTATGTGTGGATTTGGTCGTCTAGTAACCACGTTACGCCAAAGTGACTGGGTATAATTTTGTAGGGGGGAAAATCCAAAATAAACCATGAACTCGTAGACGAAAGCTAAATCAAGCCCTGAACTTCCAATCCCTTGAATCAGCACACCAAACTCTCTGATTCCAGTCTATTTTGAACCTTGAGAGCGTTCTCAAACAGGGTTTATCGATGTGGCACGTAAAATCATGGGATTGTTGACTGCGCACGCAACTGGGTTGTCCCACCAGGCACGACCTGAGTTTTTTTCCTAACGCGTGATGTAGAAATATACACAAAAACCATATCTCTAGATGAATCGAACTTCGAACTTGGCGATGCTGACCTACTCGAGCTAGCCACTGGATTTAATGGGTGTTAGTGCTGCAATGAGAGGCCCGATCAAGTTAACCTCATTAAGCAGCGTGGCGATTTGAAACATTTATTTAAGGGCAAACAACTATTGAAAACGTAAAATAATATTTAAAATCTTGAAAAAATAAAGTACAAACACTTTTTGAAAATTCTGAATGGTTTTTACAAAAAAGGACAATTTTTTGAAAACACATTTGAAAAAATGAACATAACATAAACATTTTTTTAAAAATGGGAGCACATTTTGAAAACTGAACAAAATATTAAAGTTCTAACACTTTTTGCATTTTTTAAAAAATGGGAACATTTTTTGGAACCTGAAAAATGTGTAAAAAAATGTTTCTAACATCTAAAAATCTCATGAGTTTTAAAAAATGTACATGGCATTTAAAAAAATGTTTATACAATGTCAAAACATATTCGTGTGATTAAAAACTGTAACATTTCCAAAATATTCACGAGTTTCAAAAAATGTGTTTGTGACATTTAAAAAAAGGTATACAATGTTAAAACAATGTTTGCATAATTTTAAAAAATGTGCCATACCAATAAAAGAATATATGTGACATTTATTTGAAAAAGTGTGTACAATTATAAAAATATTTAAACAATGTGAAAATTATTCATTTATTTTTCAAAATTGTAAAATGTGTATTTGGCAAAATGTTATCGCGCATTTAGAAAAGTGTTGAAAACAGGTAATTTTAAAAAATGCGGACGATGTATTTGAAAAATGTCAAAAGTGTGTGCGAATGTATTTCATGTGTGTGTAAAAAATTCACATTGTGTCCTAAGAAAAATTAGACATGTGTAATAAAGAAAACTGGTTAAAACCGGCATAGAAACAAAAAGTAAAGCAAAACAAAAGAATGAAAAACTGAAGAACCAATGAGAAACTATTACAAAGAAGAAAAAGGCGAAACAAAACCAATGAAAAAAGAAAGAAATACCAAAGAAAGAAAAGAAAACAAAAACGAAAAAAACAAAGAAAAAACATAGCAGAGGAAGCGTGAGCTACTGCATTAATGGGCCAGCCCTTGCCACATCAGCGAACACCAGCTAAAAACTGTCAAGGTTTAAAATAGACGGAGATAAAAAATTTGAAGTGCCGATTTCAGGGATTGTAAATTTAGAGTTCGATTTAACTTTTATCTATAAGTGTAAGATTTATTTCAAACTGTTTTCACTTGTAATCAAAATTTAAAATGCACAAGCCCGACAGACACGGGCGCTACTATACACACGATCCCATGTGGCAGCGCCAACAGCGTGCGTACACGTATGAGGCAATTTGTTTTTTGTTAGCTGATGCGTGCATAGCATATCGTTCCCAGACCGTGCAGACCGTGTCATTTGTGAAGCAATTTGGCGCACACACATCACCGCCATCAGGGTTGTTTTGTTTTATAATTGTATTGCATCGTTAGGGAACTTTTAAGACGGATCCGTAAATCTTCCGTGACCATCCCAATTGTATATGTTCGGACCACGGAAGCCATCCGACGCGGTCTTGTATCGGTCCGCAGGACGGTCCGGACACGATTTCTCTCATAAATCGAGGACAAACTTGAGGCTTTACGGGATTCCGGACCGCTCCCAAGACCGGTTCTGACCGCCCTAGCCCACCCAAACCCCACCCGCCGCTCCCATGCTTTCGTGCCGATGCACGCGCCGATTAGCGCTACGCATTCATTTTGGCTCGAGCACGCAGCGGCCGACATTGATGTCGCAATGTGACCGGAGGGAGGGAGGGCGACGCTGACCGACGCAGGTTCCAAGGAACCAACTCCGGCCGCTGCGCCGCATTGAAGCGGACGACCCATTCGCTTGGGCCTTGCCCCAACTATTTAAACCATGCGTCGACGATGCACATAGTTGCATCCCCCTTCGCTCCCCCGTCTTCGTGCCCGAGCCCCTCCCTCCTCCTCTTTGACCCAAGCTCAGGCGATGTCAAAGTCGTGGTGCTCTGCGCCGCCAGGCGGAGTAGGCGGAAGCTCCTCCTTCGACGGTTCTTGGCGCCACCGCAGACGCTCTTCGGGCCCATCAGTGTCCATGGCGGACGGCTCCTCCGCCAAGGAGGAGATCGTCATCTCCTGTGGTGACGAGGAGGCCCAGGCGCTGGCGCCGTAGCTGCAGCAGCCGCTCTGACTCCTCAAGGAGGCTGCTCTGACGGACAAAGATTCCGTCTGTCAGAAATAATGACGGAGCACTTGATCCATTAAATGGGGTCGTCGTTGCCGTTGCCGACGCGCGTGAAAGAGGAGCCGTCATCCCCGCCACGCCACCGCGTGAAGCCCGAGCCGGCCTCCACGCTCCTGCCCGTTAAGGAGGAGCCGGTCTCGCCCCGGCATAACCGCGACGTCCAAATCGTACGCCGCGTGAAGGAGGAGCCGGCCTCGCCCCCGCACCACCGCGGCGTCCAGATCAGGCGCTGGCTCAAGGAGGAGCCTACGTCCCTGCCATGCAGCAGGTACGGTCGCGTCGACGCGCCGTTCTTGCTGCCATCGCCTCAGCCTCAAGGAGGAGCTGCCGCCCGTGATCAAGAAGGTGCGGGGCCGCCTCCTCCACTACCTCGATGGTCCCTCGGGCTCAAGGGTTGTTGTGTCCGAGGTGGAGCGTGCGGCTCGGCAGCAGGAGCGGGGCGACCGGCGCAATGCTATAGTCCCCGCTCTGTGTTTCGCCAAGAGCAACATGGCGCCGGATTGGGTCCGCAACGACCCAGACCTCGCCGCCGCGTGGGCGCTCGACCGCTCTGTGACCACCGCGGAGACAACCGCCAGGCGTCACCGCCGCCTTGACGGTGGGCTCGTCAAGATCGGCGAGGAGTGGTCGCTTAGCGACTGCCCTGCCAACGCCGGTCGCGGCAAGGCCGCCGCTAGGCTCCGAAGGCCACGTTGGCAGTGGCCGCGGCGGCACTCCGCACGACGCATCAGGAGGTGGAGCGGCTCCTCCGCGAGCGGCTGGCAGTCGCCGGACAAGGCTGCCGCGGCCCTTCGGGCTGTTCCGCCGCTAAAGGGACCACGACAATGACGACGACGACGGCAATGACGTGCGGCAGGGCAGGGTGCCCACGCGTACGAAGTAATCGTCCGGTATAGTGTTTAGATTTTTTTTTTAGTTTTTTTAGTGAAACGGTCAAAATGTCGACCTTTTAAGTAAATTATATCCGAACGTTAATGAAATCTGTCCGGTTTAATCAAATTTCGTGAGGTTGGTTTGAATTGTTGACCGGATGTATGCAGTTAGGATTGGATGTCATTTTTTTGCATTTGTGTTCGTGGATTGGTCTTCCTGTCTGCAGACCGATACGAAAGCAAATTTATGGTCGAAGCCTGACGGCGGTGCAGTCGTTATTTGGATTGACAGTGCGCATGCCATGGTCCATGAACGCGAGACACCTGCATGAAGTTGCTTGCAACGCGAGACACATGCTCGGAGACGGCGGTGCGATAGGGCAGGGTGCACAATTCGAGACACATGCATGAAGTTGCTTCAGTTTCTGTTGTGCACAATTCGATTAGGCCGCAGGCTGCATGGTGTAAAACGACGCACTCATGGCTTCGTGACGGTAGGGATCGATCGCGCGCCAGAAAGAGAAGACCGCGAGATGTGACGGCGACAACTCGGGCGTGGGCCTGTGAGATCCTAGCTGTAG